CAAAGGGATTAATGATTCTAAATAGAAAATAATTTTAATGGAGTCTTTGAAATAGAAACATTAATTCTCTCTGAGTTATGATTCTCTTCTTTCTCCTGCTGTCTACATGTGGTCACCAATCCACAGTCTACATTTGAAGAGTCTATGAAATAGATGTCACCAAGAGACTAAATTGTAATACTTCTCATCTTCTTTAGACACCACTGAACCTATCAGAATCCAGACAAGATTTAAGGAGAAAATGTAAGAGCACCAAGATAGAAGGCAACAGGGAACCCTGGATGAGCTCCTGGAGAAGTAGTTACTTACCTGGATTATCTCCTCATGTCTGGATACTTACAAAGATATGTGAATAATATTTTAAAGGATTAACAAGTACATCTGGATATCTTTGTGACTACAGTTTAGTCTAGCTCATTAGGCTACCTATCTGAACACAGAGAACACACAATTTTGGTGTTGAATCTTGAAGAATGTCTGGTCCTCACCTTACCTGGCTATTAACAAGTATGAAGTTAGGCAATTATCCATTAGTTCTTGACTCTGCATTTCATGGGAAGCATTTTGCCAATGAATTGTTATTCAGTTTTACCCACCAGACTTTCTGGCATTGGCCATGTTAGAAAAAATGCCCACCACTGAGAAGAACAAATCCAAGGATACATCATTTAGATCTTCACACTACAGAAGTTTACTTCTTCCCACTAAAGTGTATGTGCTTCTGCAAAAAAATCACATAAAACTTTTATTCACAGAGTCATGCCTGTGTTCAAACACTGAATCTAAATAGTATGAAATTACTCCAGAGCAGGAATGCAGTCAATACAATGCTATAGCCACATTCTGTCCCTCTATTTGATTAAAATAAAATACTCAGTAGAAGTAACTAAGTTAGAAAACCAGTATTAAGAGGAAGCAGAGGGTGGTAATGAAGTATTAAGACAGAATACAATGTGAATGCTAAGTGTTTGTTTGGAATTTTTACACGATATTTTAGTCATAAGTTTCCTTTATATTACATGTTACTTTATTTGTGCCACTTAGAAAAGTTATGAGGACATAGGGATGAATATGAAGATAGGAAATTGTCAGGTTAGTGAGATGGTAAAGTGGATAAAGATATTTGCCTCTAGCCCTTGAACACAATGAAGAGGATTCAACCTCTAGAGTCTACACAGAGAAATCAAAGAACTAATTGTTACAAGTTGTCCTCAGATCTTTGTATGTGAGTCACAGAGTGAGTGCATTCTTGCATACATACACACACACACACACACACACACACACACACACACACACACACACACACATATCCCAAGTTAATGAATATAAATAAAAATATTTTCAGTTACTTAAAAAATATAAATTGTATTTGGGAGAAAGAAGCATATAGGTCTCTGTGAAGTCTTCATAGTGGGTTGTATATTGAGACCCTGTGTCAAATATAAATTAATATATTTTTACATGAGGTGAGGAATACATTCATAGCTATGGAGATGATCAGCTGTGGGATTCCATGTACACTCCTTAGTAGATGCTGGAGAAGATTTATCAAACTATTCTTATAGAACACTCAAAAGACATTTTTTACTGTATATGTTCAGAATTATGCCTGCTTTCCAATTTGTTCAGATAGAACAAATCACAATTATATAATGTTGAAAGGATGTGATTGCTATAATTTTGGATTACTGTGTGTGTCCATTTGCATGAATCTTGTGAAAGTTGTATCTATGCTAATATTGAAAACTATACTGTGTATAAATTAATTATAACTTATAATGATGAGTTTCATATTCCTACAAAAAATTCAGTGAATGCACTGAATTAAGTTGCCACTAAAGGAGTGTGTTTCCTAAATATCGGTTTGACTTTTTCATTGTTAAAGCAATCACAATAGTACTAATGGCATTAGGAAAGGGAACAGAGAGAAAATGCCAGCTCTCCTTCCTGCTCAGCCTTTTAAATTCATTATATGGTTCATATTGTAGGATGTTATACTAATGCTAAAGGGAAAGGACAGATGGTAAGGCAGAATGCAACATAAGTTTGGATAGTATCCACTGAGAGGAAATGCTTTATAATTGGTAAATACTATAATGAAATATGTTAATTCACATTGCAAGGATTTAGGAATCAAGGCCCTTCTGTGTGATACAAACTTCAACAATAAAGCTGTTTTCCCATCTGGGTTATCAAAGGATCAAACTGTGATTCAAACACATTTCAATACAAGCCATGTGGTGAAAAGTCTCTCACTTCTAAGGGGCGGTAGCTGACTTAGTCAGCATATTCTCAGAATAACAGAAGATGCTGACAAGCCACTCCTCCTGACTTCTTATTTTAATTCTCTGTGACTAACCTTATGCATGCTGCTCCTCTAGATGCTCAACGTTATCAGAGGCCCTGTTGCAGCTCTTCACAGTGGAATCATTCATTCATCGCCTCTGTTTATAGAGGAGGTTAATAGCATCCATGTGCCCTCTGGATCTCCACGCCTTCTCTCTTTCTTTCCATTTTAAGCATTTCTGGAAGCTAGGAGATGTATAACTTGCTTGCTTTGGGGCCTTAGGAACCCACATATAAGTGTCTTCTGAAACAGAAGATTTCCAAGCCAGGATTTGTTACTGAATATGCAGAACAAGATTTTCTGCATATTTTTTTTGTGTGTATAAAGTGCTATCTTGTGTTGACCATGTTTCTTATTTATGAAAAATATGAACCTACTTGCAGGTATGAATTCAAAGACTCAATTTACTAAGAATTAGTGATCCACCGGATTGATGGTCATAAAGCAATCTTTACTCTTGGTACCCTCAAATATCTTGCATGGGTCACCAGATCATGATTTACTAATAAGGTTTCAGGGCTTGCAAGATAGCACAATACTAACCATGTATTAATATTTAATTTGGCATATTAAATGCACCTAACAAAAGACCCTAGAACTGCTGACAGGACCCTAAATTTCCAATTTCTTTAAAATGGAATCAAGATAGTCTACAGGGAATTTGTGAAAAAACAAAAATAAATAAAGGAAAATAAATGTTTTAATGTTTCTACATAGACATAACAGAGCTGGGGTTCTCATTTTTCTTAAAGGTATTTATCATGCATTTTAGATGTTTAACTGAAGAATCACAAGATTGAATCTGGTACCTGGTTGCAAAATCCACAATTAGATGACAGCAGATGCATTTTGGTTAATAAATTTTATATTAGACAATTTGCTCCTAAAATAATTCATTGGCACTTACAAAATGTTGCTAAGTGAAAGGTGATACGGCCTATAAATCATTTGAATCACCTTGTTACTTGCTTCTCAGGAACTGAATCTGCTCTGAAGTAGGAACTTGGAGAAAGCTCTTGGTAGATACATGAGTTTGCTTTGTAACATTATTTTCACAGGTCAGAGATGATCATTAATGCTTGATTCCTGAAATGTCAAAATCCATCCCAAAGGAGAAAGTACAGCAGAAACAGACTGCCCTTACCTACAAATGGTATTGGACCCCTGGAATTATCACACTTCATGTGCACAATAAGAACAGTGAATAGCAGCTGAGGAAGTTCCATCTATGAAGAAACATACAGTCATTTATTGACGATGTTCCTGCAATAACATGATGCCACCTGTAATAACAGAATGTTTATTAGCACACAAATGAGGGTTATAAATGATGTTGTGTATCTATGGAACAAAACACGAAAGACAACTTATTAGCAAAAAGATAAATTGCTTCGCAAAATCTCTATGAGATGCTAGGTTTGGTAGTTTCAAGAAAGCTTTTTATTTGCACAGACCGATGCCTTTATAATCCATTTAAAATAATATACTTGCCACTAGGTGGCTATTTCTGATCAGATCATTTTACCATTTTAATTACATTTTTAATATCCTGGCTGCATAAACAAAGATAAATTACAAACCCTGCACAATCCGCTGCTAGCTCAGGCACAGTCAGTAATAATATCAGCTTTTGTTTGTGCCTCCTCTAATTAGATTCTGAAGCCTAGGCTTTGTCAATCAATAATTTTAATTTTAGAATCGCCTTTTGATCTTGCATTTCATGTTTGTTTGGGAAAATGATCAGTAGGACAAAGCTGATAATTTATGCAGAAACAATCTCTCTGCAGTGCTCCGAGCACATTCCTCCCATCACCACCAGTCTGCAGACTGAGCTTGACACAGGTCTAATTAGCATGCAGATATGTGTCGCCTCATTGGCAATTCAAATTGCTTTTTTATAATGTACCTCAAATTGTGCTACTCAAACATTGTATTTGATTTCCAAAGCCCCCTGGGCATCCCATAATGTCTCCCTTCATCCTGGGTATGAGGCATTTATTGAACAATCTGCTGAGACTGGCTGTCTTTTCGAAAACACCCAAACACCCTATCCCGGGGACCTGTTTTGCTTCCTCCCTTCAGAGAGCAACGCCTTCTCCTCGGGATTCCTTGTGCCACGTCTGTAGGTTTTGAGATGATAGGTTCTCTCATGAGGTGCTTCTCCCACGTGGTTGATCTATAGAGGGTTTGAGTCTTATGCCACTCATTTTTTAAGTGGGGGAGGAGGGCTAGTGAGCACACATTAATATGCGGCACATAACCACATCTCTGAATGTCAGTCTTCCATTCTTCATTAAACAAAATGACTGGATTGCAGAGATTGCTTTCTTCTTCCCTCACTTACATAGACACACACGCTCACAGTTGCTTTCTCAGCACACACGCACACATGCAACCTCATTCACACGCACCTATGCACCTACCTATCCATGACAGCATATCGGCATGCCTTTGTCACTATTGAGTTATGTGTGAAAGTTGCCTGCTGCACACATGACAAATAAAGGGATTCCAGCATACACTGGGGCTTTTTTTTTTTAAACCATGCAGCAACAAGTGGTAGAATCAATGGTGTACAGTTATTCAGCAATGTAATTCATTTCACTGGCTTTGGCTTCTAGCCAGATCCGCCATCTGTCTCCAGCTCTCCCTCTCCCCGTCTCTCCCTCTCCTTTTCTTTCGCCTGAATTTGTCCTACATTTCGTAATGTTACGTGCCTGCCATCCTTATCCTATGCCAGAGGTACACTGCCAGCCTCACCCCCTTCTGGAGTGGAGTTCTCTGACTTCAGTGTCATTTGGGATATTCCACATCAGTGCCATGGGAAGGAAGACAAGGGTAAGCAAAAAGCAAAAGGAGTAATGCAATAATAATAATGATGATGATTATTTTATTATTATTATTATTGTTATTATTTATCATTATTACTATGTGGGATCCAATTGCTCCTGCTTCTGCCTTTTATCCAAAGCCTGGAGATCAGTCTGCATCAGCCAGGAAGTTTCCCTGCTTCGTTAGAATATCTTCGTTTTCCTTATCATACGCTGGCACGCCACGCCAGTACACCACTCCATGGAATGCCTGCTGTTGGACACTTGCAGAGCTCTGCCACCAAGCAACCTCCTGCATTGGAAATCGGGGACTCCTCCAGGATCTTATGTGTGCTTGCTGTTTGAAGCTGCAGAAAAGTGAATAATCAATTAAGTATTGATTTCTTGTAAGATTTGGTAAATTTCAAAGGCAAGACAAAGAGGATGGCTTAAGGAAACACTGCAGGGACCTGGCGTAAATTAGACAACTAACGGAGATGCAGAATAATATAACACCTCAACTGAAGATTTCCTTGGAAGAATTAGCACTAGCTATTGGAAGACAATGGTGGATTTAATCAAAACAGCAGGCATGCAAGAATTTCACTCGTGAACCAGAAAAAGGAGCTAATTATAACCACCTTTTTTAATGGAGCTAATTTGACTGAATGGATGCAAATGTGCTTTACTTATGGATGAAGAAGCAAGCCTTTCTGCATGATCTTGGGATCATCTTATCTGCTAAGCATTGCAGCTCCTGTCCCCTTCCGTACATTTTTATTTCCAGAGAAGGTATTTATATGTAAACAACAGTTAACCATGCAAAAGATTCATCGGGACAATATACTATGGTATATGAGCTATAATCATCATTCTGCAGCCTCCCAGGATTTCATCTAACTTGGGGGATTGCAACCTTTGCGTGCAATGAGTGATGGTAATAAATGTATGGTGGTAAACTGCTGTGATTTTTCAATGTGTAGTTTATTAATTTTAGCTTGTTTAACATGTTGATTCTGCATTATTTGGCAATATATCCATAATGAAAGGAAGGGGATCGTTGGGTGGGGTGTTATTTGGCATTTGCAGTCTTCTTAGAGATCGGAATGTGTAGGTTCCACCAATCCATGAGCTCTGTAATTATAAATGAAGGGTAAAATTTTTGACAATTTGAAGAATTGGTTTTTATAATGGGAACAATGTGTTATAATCAGTAAGAGAATGGTTGTATTTTCTCTGTTGGTTGAATGTTCTTGACTGGTTAACTCCTCTGTTGCTGAGGAGAAGTAAATACCTTACAACCAGGAACCAGAAGGGATTGTAAGGGACAATGCTTTGTGCCTATACATCCCCACATTTCAATCTGGATGCCTGTTAAACATTTGCTTCCATTTCTATTATTTCCCTTTCTATTTTTCTTCTTTTCATCGTTTCTGTCTCACAATCTACATTCCCTGAGCAACCATAGGAACCAAGTTACATTAAGCTTCAACACAAAGACCTTGTAAGAATAATGAATCCTCATTTGCATAGACATTTGTATTCAGATTTGCCAGGCTATAAACTTGGCAGATCAAGCGGAATATTAAGTAGAGGCTTCCCTGGTAAATTGTGGCTCTTGAAATTGCTAAGTACTCTCTCCTGCTCCCTTCCCCCCTCCTCTGTCGTGGCAGGTGAAGTCTTCTTAAGAAGTGGATTGGCTCCTTCATCTTTCAGTACGTGATGTCAGTTTCCAGCAATAGCAGGTGTTCTAGTTGAAGGTACACATATGACTTGTGACTGGAGCATTCACTCTGGAGCCTAGAGACTAGAGAAGGGTTTTTTAAGCAGTGAAAGTGGTGGGATAACTAATCATCATACATAAATTTTGAATTTTTCTTTGTATGTTAAATAGTTGGAAGTTGTCTTTTTAAATTCTCTAAAGACCATAGGAGAACGAAGGCAGCTCTTTATTCCATAGATGGTTAAATTGTGCCATTCTGATTCATCCTTACTTTCCTGCTCATGCCATTTTTTTAAAATATTTTAAATGCCTCATTAGAGTAAGTCATGGATGGACTTGTATAATTCTGTTTTACTTGCTTCTCAAATAATAAAGAATAGGAATAATAATGCTACTTCTAGCAAACTTACCAGTTTAGAAATTTGACCTGCAAGGTCAAAATAATGTGGTGAAAAAAATGTAGATTTTAATTTCCATGGTCCACTCTGTGTGGTTCCAAGCAAGTGAGTAACTGGGAATATTTGTGCATGACTTCATGTTTCATACATGATACCACCGTTTCAGAATCTTGTAAACAGCATCTAAATCAATGACCTATTAACAACCTTTCACTTCTTGCCAGGCCTTTTCTTGTCCCTGAAGAAACCTATCACTGTGGGGAACATTAAGACATGTTAAGGAGATCAGTCTTGCTGCAAACATCTAAGGATATTTTAACAATGTCTTTTCTTTTTAATTCTATTTTCAAAAATAGACATAATGCAAGTGATAATATGCAGACTGGGTTTATCATAAAGGGATTCATTTGTGGTATGTAGTAAGGAATTTCAATTTGCAGAAATTACTTTAAGCAACTGATTTAAGTAACTATTACTTAAAGTGCAGGCAAAATTCAATTTTATGTGGGAAAATAAGAGAATGTGTGCTAAAAGATATTAGATGTTTTTGTAAGATGAAAAACACAATCATCAAATATCTTGACTGAAAAAAAGTTCACAAAACTCCCTAAGCTTATAAAAATATTTTTAGGAATCATTCATAGTATATATTAGTATCATGTGTGCATTTACTAATTTATCACAACACATATTCTAATGTAGGATTTAGTTATCCTTCATAAGATAACTAGTTTATAATATAGAAAGAAAAATATAAATCATGGCTTTGGGAGAAATTATATCTTTTCATTCCACAATTTTATTGTTTTAGTGAAAATAAATGATTTGATATTTTGATAAAAGCATACATAGCATGAAAAACTATACTATCATCACTAAGTGGCAAAAATTATTTCATATACATTATTTTATGAAAGTATGATAATTGTCATCAAGTTGCCCGCATAGTAATTATGAATCCAACTACACAGTATTTGAGCAGGCTTCTTCTCCAGGGGCCTTAATGAGAGCAGGCTGTAATGACAGAGAACCATTAATATAACAACACAGTGCAAGCAAAGGCTACAGGATCGCATATCAAACAAAATATCAATACGTCTTTTTATCAAAATATTCAGATCTATAAGAAAGATCCAATATATTTAATATGCTTTACATGGCTTATTTACTAATGTAGAAGGAATTGGGAACACTCTAATTCAAAGAAAAATAAGAATATTCACAGTTTAATTCAAGAAAATACACATTTATTATATATTCAAATAGGATTTAGAAAGGAACAGATTTATACTTACCCATTTCTTCAGCCCTGCCCATCAATTTGAATCTGTCCTCTCTAATAAATGCTAATGATTCAGTTGATTGCGCTTGTGTATGTACTTACAATGCAGGTTTGAGAATCAGTCACTGATGAATCTCTATCAGGAAGAAAGATTACACCATTGTCTCATTTGCCTTCTGAACAGCAGGAGTGAGAATTCTTCTAAAATCATAGTAGCTTTTTCAGTATCCACACAGAAAGTCAAGTACATTTGTGTATTACGTCCTTATCTTTCTATGTAGGAATGCAAGTGGATATATATATATGCTAAACCAATGGTTCCCAACCTGTGGGTCATGACCCCTTTGGGGTCACATATCAGATATCCTGCATATAACTATTTATGTTATGATTCCTAACAGTAGCAAAATTACAGTTATGAAGTAGCAAAGAAATAATTTTATGATTGGAGGTCACCACACCATGAGGAACTGTATTAAAAGGCCCACAGCATTAGGAAGGTTGAGAACCTCTGGTCTAAATTATAAACCCAAAAGTAAAGACAAAAAAATTAAAGCACATGTTTAAGTTAAAGTTGCTTTTCCAAAATTGAGAATAGGTAAGCAGAAGAAAAAGTGCCTAGGCACAACTTCAGGCCAATTCTACTGCATTCTATTTCTTCTTTTGAGTATTTTTAGTAACCATTCAGACTCCATATAGCTATCAGGTTTTCCCTACTGTAACTAAGCAGCCTATACTCAAAAACTAGTAAAATTTGTTTTATATAGAAACAATACCCAAAGGAGTAGAGCAGGTACCAGGGCAAGCAAGGTAATCTTGTAGATAGATTTGGATAGCAGAGCCTAAATTCATTATACCGAACACTCAGTTTTACTGTATATAAAATTAACAGCAATTGAAATGATCATTTATAGAAGGATGGCTGCAGACTGTGCACTGCTCATGAGCCACTCAAGATGGTGACGCTTGTGTTATAATCCTCAGAGGTAACAGACCTTTAGAATGTAACCTTCAAAGTCAGCTTAAGACTTTGGCTTCCATCAAGAAGGAAATAATAGCACTGAGTTGAACATATTATCTTCATCTTCATCTAGTGAAATAATAAAGGGGATTTTTAAGAACTCTTTATAATTATGATTAAAATTAGAGAAATATGTGATAGTTCCCTGTCAACTATAACAAGAAAACAATAGATAATAGACAGGTAATGTATGATAAATAAACAAATGGGTAGATAATAGGCAGATAGATGACAGACACTAACTGTCAACATAAATATTTCCCTCTCTGATTTAAAACTGTTTAAATAATTTCTGCTTAGGAAACATGAGCAGTTCATAACTTCAAGTTCAATTAAAGATAGAAAATATCTTTATCCCTCAATACCATATATATTTGTGAAAATGTACCATTTTGGCTATATATGAACAGATATTTGATGTAGGAAGTAATCATAAAGGAGAGATATAGAAAAGAGAGTAAAAAACATATAGAGATTCAATTAAGTTCGATCAAAGAAAAAAATTAGCCCATGGTATCATTTGAATCCCTCTTTTCTCAATTTAAAATCAAGTTTTAATTGTTAAATTTAATACTCTGTAGCTAGAGTTTTCCTACCTTGCCAACAGTCAGGACAAATCTTTGTCACCCGCCAGTCCCACAGCAGCTCAGACCCGACCAAGTAAACACAGAGACTTATATTGCTTACAAACTGTATGGTCGTGGCAGGCTTTTTGCTAACTGTTCTTATAGCTTAAATTAATCCATTTCCATAAATCTATACCTTGCCACGTGGCTGGTGGCTTACCGGCGTCTTCACATGCTGCTGGTCATGGCGGCAGCTGGCAGTGTCTCTCTGCCTCAGCCTTCTGCTTCCCAGAATTCTCCTCTCTCCTTGTCCCACCTACTTCCTGCCTGGCCACTGGCCAATCGGTGTTTTATTTATTGGCCAATCAAAGCAATTTGACATACAGACCGTCCCACAGCAATACTCAGTCTCCTCCTTTTGTAACTGATTCCCAGGACAGGTCATTCTAAGATTGGATACAATTACTAAGATTGGTTGAAGGATTTTGATCAAATCGGGAAGGAGCATAAAATATCATGTGATTGTGATATCTAAAATGACACAATTAAATGAAACCCTAGTGCATTTGATTTTCTATCTTGAGTACTTTTAATATTAGTTATTTAAAAGCAAGTGCTGAGTAAATGATACATACTTTGTGTTGCCAAATGTTACCTTAGGAAACTTTTCAACAATAATTCAAACAGTTTTTTCGTAGAGCAACAGTCTCTGGCTTTCTTAAATTATGATCAGTGTAATAACATTGATTAAGATAGCCAGAAGACAACAATGAAATCTTCTAATTTGATTTCAGAATAGTGGTCACTTTCAAATTAAGCTATACTACTTGCAAAATATTTCAAACATAAGGTCACAATGGTCCCCCAATCTGTTTTCTCCTCCAAAGACTTACCCAAATTTGGTTAAAATTGTCTTTCAATAAAATCTCTACAGCATGGCTCCTTTCTTATCCACTGGACATTCTGATGTCAATAGATAAACACCATCACTTTCCCAAGGAAACATTTTGATGAATTGCCAATCTAGATGACAAATTTTCTAAAATTCATTTCCTTCTCTTTCTTTCTTCATTCTCTTTTTTCTGAAACATATTTGGAGATTGTTAATAAATTTTAAGATAGACTTTAAGCACGGGAGTTAAAGGAAAGAAAGGTGTTAGCCAGGCAGGGACAGCGCACGCCTTTATTCCCACCACTCAGAAGACAGAGCCAGGTGGATCTCTGTGAGTTCAAGGCCAGCCTGGGCTACAGAGCAAGATCCAGGCCGGGCTCCAAAACTACACAGGGAATCCATCTCAAAAAAACAAAACAAAACAAAAAACAAAAAAGAAAAAGAAAAAGAAAAGAAAAGAAGAAAAGTGTTCAGGAAGGAAGTAGGACACACCCAAAATTCTGAGTATAGGCTTCTAAGAGTCTTTGAATTTTCTAACCTTCTTACTGTGATTAAGGTTCCAAGACAGTCAGGAAGATAGTCAGTGATGGTTTCTGAAGTATGGGAAGGGCTTCCTATCCTAAAATTTAAAAGACCTTTCAAATAACCTCCTAGTTTTTTCTGGGGATGCTGTTGATCCCTGTGTGCATGAATAAAACTTTCTCTCTGCTGAGAGTTTTACACTTCATCAAGTAACTTTGTACCTTATTGCTCAATCACAGTTTAAAATAAATATACCATCTTCATTACATTTTGCTTTAAACATCCATTTCAAACAGAGAAAATAACAGCAACCATCACCTCCATCTCAGTGGCCATGAGATCAGGTGAACATCTTTTTAACAGTCCATTCAATTATTCTTCCAACTCTGTGTCACAGAGCCTCTAATCTGTGCCTGGCACATGGTTATAGAAGCTGAGTCAAAGTACACAATGGGGAAATCCATTTAGAAATAAACAAAAATCTCGTAATGAGGCATTCTGTCAACTATTATGGACAAATAAGGAACATTGTGGAACTCAAATGGCAATTAGAGATATTTCCTGAATAAGAACACCAATACAAACAGTGTAATATTCTAAAATAATTATATTATCAAAATATGAAAATATTATTTTACTACACATGTATTGATTTCTTAAATATGTACCTTAATTATAAGACACTGGACTCCAATCCATTGTTAAATGAAGTCTTGAAATATATAATTTAGATTAGGATGAAAATCTATTTTGGCTACAGATATGAAATTGGAAAATGGAGGGATATTTTAGTAGATTCTTCCAGTTAATTGATTTTGATATACATTGTTTTGATATGTCTGATGTATATGATTTTGGTAACATGTTTTGATATATATCAAATGACAACCAGTGGCAGTTTTGTAAAAGTTAGATGCATCATGGAATTTGAAGCCAAATCAATTTTCCCTTTTGATTAAAAAATCTATTATCGATCCTGCATTTCAATAGATCCTTCACTCATGCATAATTTCAGGGCATCAGAAATTAGTCTTATAGGAAATATTCGCTCTCTGAGTCATGTGAGGCTCCCAAATTCTACACATTTTATTGTACAGTGTGAAAGAAAAAGACAGTCTAATGGTGTTCTTATCAGATTTGTCTTTAAATATTGGCAATCTCTGCTCCCTTTCCTTTGATACATTTGTTATTCCAGACTTACAAATGGGTCACTCTACAACATAGGCCAGTTCATCTGAATCTTAGTCACAGAACTGCATTACTTTGAAGGCACAGTGATAATCTGTATTTTACCAAATTAAAAGAAATTTATGAATGCTTCTTGTTTTAACATAAAAAACAAATTTATGAATACTTTTTTATTTTAACATACAGTCAGTCAACTAGGAAAAAATATAACAAAAGCCATTGTATAATTTATTGCTTCTTCAAGGATCAAAGGCGTGTGTGCAAGCACACAAATATGTCACATTTTCTAAATATGAGGAATTCAATGGTTTCTGGGAGTTCTGTGTGCTTCCTTCCTTCAGGTTTAGAGAGAGACTTTTATGCTTTCTGCAATGGACGCAAATTTCTGCTGAATAATAATAATAAGAACAGCTAATAAAAGTATCATTATAAAAATAGTCTGACCTTAAGTATTATGTGAAAGAATGGCAGTATTTGTTAAAGGTCTGGGGCCATGACTTGAGACTCACAAACTTAGAGCAGGCTAAAGCACAACCTGATCACTCTAATATTTCATATCCAGTAAAGTCCAACTAGAATCACAATACTATGATAATAACACTTAGCACTTCTAAATTATTTGGCAAATAACTATATGAAGTCTGTCAAGAATATTGATAGTGTTCTTGTAGCACATATCTTGATTTACAGCCATAGAGAGATGATAGATAGATAGATAGATAGATAGATAGATAGATAGATAGATAGATAGATAGATAGATAGATAGATAGATAGATAGACAGATAGACAGGCAGGCAGGCAGGCAGGTAGGTAGGTAGGTAGGATTAGATTAATAGATAGATGATAGATAGGTAGGTAGGTAGGTACGTAGGTAGGTAGGTAGGTAGGTAGGTAGGTAGGTAGGTAGGTAGAATGTTTATATAGTTTAATCATTTCAAAATCCAATGTGCTGCCTCTTTTTTTTGTAGCAGAGCAAGTTGCAGCAGATCTAACAAGTTTTCCAAGGTCACAATAGCAGTAAATGACAGAATCCAGATTTATCTCCAGGTTTGCTGATGTTCACTGGTCTCATTTAACTGTAGCTATTCAGCACATCTCTTTTATACCTGTCTCTGGCTTAAGAAATAATGAGCAAGTCATGTGCCATCAACTTCTTAGCAAGTTTCTACTTAAGCACTTTTAGAACAGCATATGCATATGTATAAACTGCATCTCCATCCCAAATACTTCGGCATGGGGTCTCTTTTTACATCAGTTTCATCACAATCTCAACTGCCCTGCATTTTTAGGCTGTCTATCAACATGCTTAGTTAGTTTCCTTAACTGCTGTATTGATTGATAGCTGATTTCATCATTTTATTATCCAAATTTTTCACTGACCATTTCATGGTCTAGTTATTTCAACCTTCACAATGACCATTTCAATTAAGTCTTGAGACCTAACCTCCTAGAAAGCAGCTGCATCTCTACTAACCAAAGGGGAATTATATAAATTTTAGGTGGTATAAAAGCACAAGGAACTGAAGTTTAATAAATAATTTCTGAAATATATCAGGGCTCTTGCATAAGATATTTTACTCTATACATTGCTTTAATAATTTCTAATTAAAATATAATTACATCACTTCCTGATGGTACATATTTTAGTTCTGATGCCAAATTAGCTGAATAAATCAAGAAAACAATATGAAGATTTTATTTTCTTATTAATTTAATGACAGAAACTTAATATATGACCTCTGATTTCACTTTTCATTTTAATATTATGTAATTTTGATATACACCTCTTCTTTAACATTTTGATTTTGATGCTTCTTCTTAGCATTCTTAACTTATATATTTTAAAACAACAAGTTCTCTATCCATACCATTCTTACTTCATATTTTATACTGAGAGCTTGAAAAACCAAACTCATTGTCTAAATTTACATATGATGTTTTTGTGGAAATACCTGCTTTTATCCACTAAATAAGGTTCTTTAATTATGAAATTTAATAAGCATGTTAAAAACCTGTTTATTTTCACTAAACAGAAACTTTTTAATATTTAAGCTGTGATAATATTAGAGTGTATAAAACTTGACTCTTTCTCCTAAGGGTGAAGTACCATAAAATATTAACAAGAAACAAAATTGTTAAGGGGAGAAGGATGAAAGCAAGTTGTTATGTTTATTTTTTAATTTTGCAATGATTGAAATTACAGAAATGAGATTTTCTGAGCCACAAGTGGAATCACTAGTATCAGCCTATGCAGAAACATGTTCATTTAATCAGTCATGGGCCAGCTAATTACAAGCACTGAAGCCCTTTTTTATAGATGCCTGGATTTCACATGATTGTAATATTTGCTATATAATAGAAAACATTTATCCCATTCTTTTCAATAGTGAAACCCAATGCATCCTATTATTACTGAGAATGTGTTTTTAAATCGGTACATGCATTGAAACCAGAGTTTGCTAAATGCAAATTTTACCAATCATAACAAGTGTTTTGTCTTTTTGGAAATTTCTATGGAAACAGTAAACCAAGGTGTCTCTAGACTACTGACAGATATTGAGCAGCATCTTCATGACCAACTTACTGTTTTGTGTCCAACACAGCTTAATCCACATTTTGAAGAATGAAAATTGACCGCTTCAGTAAGCTATCAA